TGGACTTGTTTGCCCCGCCCCCCGTGCCTTGGACGCTTCGCGTCTATTCTGCGCGTGCTCTTTGTTTTCTTGGATACTTCCCCAAAACCTTCTGAAATTTGGTTCTCGTTTGGGGCTCCAGCGCGGAAGGCATTCTATCGGATCGTTTTTTGGCGAAAAAGGCCACGAAGAGGAGACGTCAACCAAGAAAGGGGTCGGAACATTTTGCGGGGAGATCGTGGACCATGCATGGATGCGCGGTTGACGGACGGGCTCGGGGACGGGAGGAGCGTGGAGGGGGATCGTGACATTCGGTTGATGGGCAGGGGAGTGCAAAGGGGTTCAGTGCGCGATGTATCCCGGTTGGAGGGGTAATGCATGAGTCATCTTCCGCGCCCTGCGAACGTTCCTCCGCGCCCCCCCCCCCCCCTCGGCGCCCGGCGCCCGCTTTTTCCCTCGGCGCCTTTCACACCCTCCACACCCTCCACCCTGCGCACCCTGCACCCTCCCTCATTCTAGCCCAACCCCCCCTGGCTGCCTATCCTGGCTGGCTAGCCTAAAGGCTTGCCTTTATTCGGGCGCCGCTCGTGCCGCCGACCCGCCCTGAAAATCGCATGGTTTCTTATGGGGCTCCGGGGGGAGCCCCGGAGGGCTCGGAGCGGGGTCCCAAACGCGAATGCGTGGAAGTGCCGAAAACATCGTAAATACCATGCTTTTCTACGTTTTTGGAGGGACGCCAAACGCCCGAGAGGGCTCATGATGCGTGACCCGGCTCGCATCATCGACCCTGTTTTTTTAACATTGGGCGAACATGCGAAAAAAGACCACATACCTCAAGTTTTGGGGGGGAACCGACGCCTCAACAGGCGCGAGCATCATGAGCATCAGCGACCCGCCTCCGGGGCCACAGGAGGGCCCGGGCGCCTCAACAAAGCCAGAAAACATCGAAAATACCGTGTTTTTCGCGTGTTTCGACACACACCTCCTTTTGGGGCACTGCCGCGCCTCCACGGTGAGCATCCTTGACTCCCACGGTTTCGGGGGGGTCAGCCGACGCTCACGGTGCGCACCCACGGGTGAGCATCATGAGCCCTTCATTTCTCCAGGGCCCTCAGGTCCCGGCTCCGGGGCCTCGCTGATGCTCAAGAGGGCCTCGCTGATGCTCATGATGCTCGCTTGTGGGGGGCGTCCGAGGGGCCGAAAACATGGTAAATACAGTGTTTTTTGCGTGTTGCGCGAAAAACTGTTCAAAAACTCATCGTCATGGCTGGGGGAACAGAAACAGGCGCCCAACCTCGGAGAAAAAAGTGTTTTTCTCGGGAAAACCTTGGTTTGGTGTGTCTCGCAACATTCGGCCCTCACCCCCAAGCCGCTGCGCGCGCGCGCGCTCGCGCACGCGCACGCTCGCGCACGTGCACGCGCACGCGCACGCGCGCACGTGCACGCGCGCAGAGGATTTTATATAGGGTTTCGGCTGTCGCTTCCTGTTCTTTCTTCTCTTCTGCTTCCTGTTCATTCTTGTTTCTTATTTTTCTTATTCTTTCTTTTCTTGCTTCTTTTCTTCTTATTTATCTTCATCGTTCTTTTCTTCTTTCTTTTCTTCTGCCTTTTCTTCTGTCTTTTCTTCTGTCTTTTCTTCTGTCTTTTCTTCTTTCTTTTCTTCCTCTCTATTTTCTTCATCTTTCATTTTTTCTTATTCTTTTTCTTCTGGCTTTTCTTCTAATTTATGTGTTTCTTCTTCTTTCTCTTCGCATTCTTCTTTTTATTCCTTTTCCCTTTCTTCTTGCTATTATTCTTTCTTATATTTTCTTATTCTTCTTTCTTTTCTGCTTCTTCTTCTGTTTATTCTTCTTTCTTTGCTTCTTCATCTATTTTTTCTTTCTTTTCTTCTTCCTCTTTTTCTTCTTCTTTTTGTCTTATTCTTATTTTTCTTCCTCTGTTTCTTCTTCTTCTTCTTTCCCGAGGTTCAGCTTTCAGACGGCCAGGCCGGCCCGTGCCGCAAGGCCTTTAGATAATCCATCCAGTGAATCTCGCGCACTCTCGCGCCGCGAGATGACTTTCAAAACAATTTGAGAATCGTTCACACCATGCCAAGACATGTTGCTGGGGGCTTCGGCTGTTCCGGTGAAGAGTCGGCGCTTTTACAATTCCCTCTCCACTCCACAAAAAAGATGCAGATCGCAGAGGCCTCTCTCAACTCGAATGAACTGCCCTCTCTCTCCCTGAGCCGCGCCCATTTTTGACAACATGAATTCTCCTGTTTTGCATGGACTGTTGACTCCTTCACTCCTTCATTGCTTATCATTCCGGCATTCCCCAGGCCGAGCCCTTTCTTGGACCCGCTCTCAGAGCAGCTCAGAGATCAATTCTCAGGGTTTTAGGGGCCTATCAAAAAACTCGATATCGCCCAAGAAGAGAGGAGGTGCGGAGAGCTCTGCCTCTAAGGGGAGGAGGATGATTTCGCGAGGGGATGGCACAACGGTGGGGGCATCTCCCGGAGCCCGGAAAGAGAGAAGGCCTCGCTCTCAGAGGCCGACATGAATTTAGATGAATTTAGATGAAAATTTAGATGAATTTAGATGAATTTAGATACTTGTCATTCGAGCACCAATGCCTGCATGAGTTGACATGAGGTCCTCCACGCTCCAATCATTCGGCTGGGCAGGCGCGCTTCAGTGACAGGTGCGGGATCTTGGCGGAGGTGCAAAGGGCGCCTCGAAGGGCAAACGCAAATCTCCCGCTCTCCTTCTTTCGAAGGAAACTCTCATGTGCTCTCTGCTGTTTCATGCTGTCGGTTTCCGGGGGCGACGCGGCGCAGGGAGAGCATCGTGTCGTCGCTGTACACGAAGACCTCTCCAAAGTACCCCCAAAAATGCAAAGAAAAAGAGAGAGAGAGAGAGAGAGACAGAGACAGAGAGCGAGCAATCTCTCTTTCCACTCGAGTGAATGCGAGTCTTTGAGAGTCCCAGGAAGTGCGAGTGTTTTGCGCGCTGCTCTCTCTCTCTCTCTCTCTGAGCACGTGCAATCTGTCGCCTCGGCCACCACGGATCCTTCTTCATCTTGGGCGATGATGTGCAGAAGCTCCCGCTCCCGCTCCTCTAAGCAAGACTCTGCTCAGGGTAGTTGCTCGCTCTCTCTCTCTCTCTCTCGCTCTCTGTCTCCCTGTCTCTCGTTACAAACTGCAGTTGCTTTCTCCTGTTTGTGTGCTTGACTTATGCAACTGACTCTTGGTCTTAGTCTCTTCGTCTTCTCGTTCACAGCAAACAAGCAAGCTGTCACACACTCAGCTCAGCTCAACTCAGAGAGTTAGCTCTCGCGCTCCTCCATCTCGCCGCGCTTGTTACAAGAGAAAAAGAAATAGCTGCGATGTTTGGTCTAATGGAAAGAGAGAGAATTGGGAGCTGGGGGAGAGCTGGGGGATGTGTTTGCGTGTTCTCTGGACTCTGAGAGGTGCAGGAATGAAACTCACCTCATAACACTCTGCCTGCAAGAACGACACTTCTCACGCGGGAAGCGCGCTGCTCTTGGGCCCGACGGCAACGGCTCAGCACAAACGAAGAGCTGAGACAAGATATGCACTCAACTCGCTCAACCACACGATTCGTGATGCAAGAGATTCGACGTTAACGCTCTCACTTTCTATGAGGAGAGTGGAGGGCTCAAGCTGCGCACCTCCGTGTTTTCTCTCCCCGCTTTGCTGCTGAGAGCCACGGAGAGAGAGCCCCCCCAATGATCCTCCCTCCCCATTGTTTTTCTTTTTGTGCTCTTCTCTTTCATCCTTGTCTTGTCTTCGGCTGCGCGCTGCGGGAAAAAAACGATTGCTCGGCAATGTGAAGCATCCCCCTCGGCCACTCTCTCGAATGACGATGCAGAATCGTTGCAGAATCGTGTACGGTGTTGGGCAGTGTTGGGTTTATGTAAGCTCAGCAGCTGCTATCTTCTGAGAGTGGCTGAAAAGGATCAAGCTTCTCGAACTTGGGCTCTGCAAGGCTCTCTGCGCGCCACACTTCAACACTTCAAGCAACTGCAGTTCCTGTGAGAGACACAGGACTCACAGGAATGAGTTGCACAATTTGCTGCACAATGCTTGGCGCCAAGTTGCCGATATGCATGATTCATGCTCCATTGCAAGTGAACGCTGCAAGCGCCTGTTAAGAGTGCCCGTTGCGTTGCCCACTGTGTGCCAGGTGCCTTTGAGAGTGCTTCAAGAACTACAACGCACGATGGATTTTGGCATGGTACAGCTACTATGGCATGGGCTTTTGTTGGCGAACCCTGACCAAAACGGCCTGCAGTGCGAGAGCTTACAGCACTATGTCACTATGTTCTGCTCGTAATGTACTGAAGGAGGATTCTGAAAGCTGCCGCGTCTCGTTGCTTCGGTTGTTTGATTTTGGGTTTGTTGGTTGTCGTTTCGTGACGCGAAGAGCTAACATTTAGCCAAACACATTCCCGCCGCATTCCAGCCTTTATGAAACGGGCGCGATGCCGGCCACAACTGTGATTAATAACCCTAATAACCCAACTTCACGGCACTCAAATCCTACTAACACTCTACTCGGCGGCACTCTAACGGCACCACAGGGCTTTCGCTCCGCCATCTGCTCCGCCGAGCTCCGAGCTCGTTCCGAGCTTCCGAGCTTCCCCGAACACAGCTCTCCAATACAACACAGAACATGTCCTTCTCAGCCTTTGAGACGTTTTGCACTTTGTCGCGGCAGCTTTTCTCAACCTCTTTTCACCAAGCTAGCTTTGCTTTTGAAATCTTTTGAAAAAGAGTGTTTTGTAAGAGTGTAGTCACTGTAGTGTGCGAGCTTAGTGTTCTCGGTGGGGCGGAGACGGCGGAGACACGTCTGCCCAGCCCAGACTTCACACCTCAGCCTCCGATGGGCAAAAAACGAAGCTGAAAAGAGCTGAATCGATGAGTGCCAACTATGCTCGACTGTGTCACAGGTCTTGCCCATCGGCGGCACAAGTCAAAAGAGAGCATCTAACCGAGAGGACTCAGAGAGTGTCACTTGTCACTTGCAGATGCCCGCGCAGCAGGAGGCTTCCTTCTTGATTCTCAGGAAGGCGCAGAGCATGTCCTTGCTGGTGACTCCGAAGGCCTGGGGAGCCCTCGTTTCCTTGATGTCCTTCCCCTGCATCTTTCCGTCCTTCAAGAACTCCTTGGAGAGCTTGCCTTGGGCCCAAGTAAGCACCTTGTCGATGGTCGGCGTCTTCACGCTTAAGAGCTCAGCCACGCCACGGCTGAAACACAAGCCAGTAGGAACATCCTCGCTAAGGTACCGGAACTGGAAGTCTGGGACGTAGCCGCCCCCAGATTCTTTCATTGGATGGCACAAGCCTTCGTAAGCACTGTTGGTGCTCATGGCCTTCTGCAAAGTGGAGCCATCTGCGATGGAAGTCGAGTAACTTGCCATGTACCACTCCATGATCGTCTTCACCTCACTGGTATCGAAGTTGGGGTCTAAGCCTTTCAAACCCTTGCAGATCTGCGTAATGTCCGCCGAGATCCCGTCCAAAACGTCTGCTGTCTGATTGTCCACTCCGTGGTAGAAGAGAGGCTTCTGGGGCAAGGGCTTCCCATCCCAGTTGTGCCATTTCCCGTAGGTCACACCCGGGTGGATCACCTGCCCGGGATTTCCCAAGCTGATGCTCATCACGTTGGGACACTCCACGATCCTGGGCTCAACGCCCAGCAAGCCCTGGAGCTTCAGGATCACCTCCAGCTTCGACTTCCCCACCGGTGGCACCACGGCCGCGCTGATGGACTCCTCCCCGTCTTACGAACCGATATTTATATCGATATTTCTCATTTGCGCGCATCTTCGTCTTCTGTGTACACTTTCAAAAGACTTCTCAACTCTGGCCAGCGCTCACTCTCTCTGTCTCTCTCTCTCTCTCTCTTTCTCCTTGATCTCGTGCATTTCTTCTGGCGCGCGCTTGAAGCATTAGACATTATAGAATCATTTGAGCCACTTCTTGTTTTTGTTGGAGTGTCCTTGGTTCCCAGGACGGTGGCCGTCTTGCCCCACTCGTTGAACCTGCACGCCCATGGCAAGGTCTCAAAGGCCACCAGGCCCATTTGGTCCGCCTTCTCGCCCATGACCTCGTTTGAACGTGTCTGCAAAGGATGTGCTCCATGCGCTTTTTGGTCAAACGAAAAAGAATAGCTATTCAGAATCATTCTTCACAAACAAGAGCGAAGAGAGAAAGAGAGAGAGAGATAGAGAGGGAGGGAGGTAGAGAGACAGAGAGGGAGGGAGTGAGAGAGGGAGGGAGTGACGGAGAGAAGGAGAGGGAGGGGGGAGAGAGAGCGAGACTTGAGGGTCATATTTTTCGTGACATTGGAGCTATTCCCTTGCCTTCTTGAAGAGGAAGTCGCAGCCGGAGCGTGCGGGCATTACGGCAAAGATGGTGCCCTTCTGCACGAAAGGCTCCAGGGCCTTGAAGTACTGCTCGTGGAAGGAGGAGGGTACTGTGAAGAGCACGACGTCACAGTTCTTCACGGCAGAAGGGTCCTTGGTAATCAGGTCAGGCATGGAGGTCACGGCCTTGGTTGTGCCCTGGAAGTTGCAGGTCATGCCCTTCGCCTCTTTCACCGCCTTGTCCCACCGTTCTGCCTCATCCGCATAAAGCGAAATTGCAGTGACCTTGTAGCGGCATGCAAAGAGGCACGACACAACCTGTGCTGCGTTTCCACCGCCGCAAACCAGCACGGATGCCATGATCAGTGAAGTCCTGTGCAAGCACCCTCGCTGCTAGTTCCTCTTTCTACAAACTCTGAGACGTGGGTTTCGGTGAATACGAGCCCGCACGAGTCAAGCAAGGACAGTAAGCGTGGATGCCAATACGTGCCCAGACGGGGCAGTGCGAAGCTGGCTTTGCTCCTTTTTTTTTTGCGAGGTCTCTACGCATCTCGATTCGCAGCCATGGACGCCACAAAGGCCTGGAAAATGGTTTGCTTTGCCATAGGGGCGGGGAGGGGGGGGATCTTGGCATGGAAGACTTGTGTGGGGGGTGTTCCTTTCGGTTCCTTTCTGTCTTCTCGAGCCGGCTAAAGGCTCGAAACTGAGAGCCCTCTGATGCGTCTCCCATTCTTCCGAGCCTCAAGCCGGACGCGCAACCAAATGTTTCAACCATGTCACCAAGGCTCCATTTGGCCATTTATATTCAAGCCTCAATGAAGGGTACTGGTTCGTACTTAATTTGATTACTCGAAATTTCATTTAGACTTGTTTCACATGATTCAACTAGTTCCTATCCGCCGACCATGCCGACCCCGCGGGCGTCCGCGCCGGTGAAGAAGTCTTTGTCTTTTCGTTCTCGCCACAGCCGCCATCATCGCCATCCCCCCCGCCGCCCGCACCAATCTCACCTCCAAACCGCAAAACCGCCCCCCCCCTTGCATCACCACCCACCGCAAATGTGCCAGGCGCCCCCCGGCCGGCGAGCGCAGTGTACGTGTGTGTAGGTACTCTATAGAAATCAAAAGTACCAGACGTGAAACTGCATGTGATTTGGTCGTGAGAGCAAAAATCTCAAACAGTATCTGCGCTCTCATGTGCATGTTCATCTTTCAAATATGTCTCTGAGAAAACTCCCGGCCCCCGGCACCCCCTCTCTGCTCTCTTTCTGCTGTCACGGAACAGAGTGCTCTGTTCAGTTCCGTCTTTGCGGCCTTCTCGAAGCGGCGGCACTCTGCACCCTCTTCGCCTCAGTCTTCTTTTGCGTTCCCCCGGCGTGGGGGGGGACTCTTCTCACAAAAAAAAGGGGTTGTGATCCGAGAGCCGACCACTCCGTTCCGTCCGTTCTGTCCGTTCTGAGGTCGGTGCCTGGTACCTCCAAGTGCAGAGAGCTTTCGTGTCAAGTCTCACAACAGAGAACTGCGCCCTCAAACTCAAAAACTCTCTCAAGCTTAACAGTCTTAACACCTCTCCCAGGTTCAAACAAGCTCTCTGTCTCCGCGCCCTTTTTCTCTTTTTAAGGGGCGCGCCTCCGTCTGGGTGGCCAGGGCTTGCAGTGCCCGGCCCAGCTCCCGGAGCGCCAGGGCGCCTCGGAGTTCAAAACTCAGAGCAAAAACCTCTCTCTCCTCCTCTCCTCCTCTCCTCCTCTCTCTCCTCCTCTCTCTCCTCCTCTCTCTCCTCCTTTTCTTCTGCTTCTTTGGGCCCCCGGCGACCGTCGGAGGCGCCGTCCACGCCGCCCGGGGCGCCGCAGTCACTGAGAGAACGAGTTAGGAGAAGAGAAGAGGGAATCACATAATGAGGAGGGAAGACAAGAGGGCGGAGCAGGGGGCGGAGCGGGGGGGAGAGGCGAGAAGCCGAGTTCCCATATGCTCTGAGCTCGTTCTCCCAGAATGCAGAGCATACGGCCCGAGTCGAACCCAACCCGACGCAAGCCCCTCAATCAAAAAAAGGGGGCATGTCGGCAGGTCTTGGCGTTTATCAATGTACGAAATAAACGAATTGACCCCCCTCCCCCGTCCCCCCCCCGGTAAGAAGGAAACAAAGGTATAATGCGTTTTGGCCCTGGAACTTTAATATTCTAATGTTCAGTATGTGGCTCCGGCTCTGGACTATAATATTGAATTCTGCAAGGCTGGACTTTGATATTAACATATTACAGGTACTTGAATATGAATGTCCTGGAGCTTCTGGCGAGGCCTGAGGCAGCAAGGACTTTAATATTCAAATATTCAAGTTGTGTAAATATTAAAGTCCCAGGCCGGACTTTAAGATTTAATTCCGCAAGGCTGGACTTTACTATTAAAACAATAAAGTTATTCAAATATTCAAATGTTAAACACCATCCTAGGATTTTCGCTAGTTTGGTGGCCTTGAGGGATCTCCAAATCGGGCTGTTAGCCTTTGGCAGGGAAAACGCCCATAAGAACGAACCAAAGGGATTTCACACAGTGCCGCGCCAAATCTGGCTGTTATCATTCGGAAGTGTGGTAAATACCGATGAAAACGGGACACAGGGATTTCACAAAGTGCCACGGAAAATCTGGCTAAATCAGGCTGTTACCCTTAAGTGTGGAAAATACCAGTAAAAACAAACCAAAGGGATTTCATAAAGTGCCGCGGAAAATCTGGCCAAATCGGGCTGGTACCCTTCGGAAGTGTGGTAAATACCAATAAAGACGAACCGCGTTGTTTTTGGAAAGTGTGGAAAATACCAATAAAAACGAACGAATGGATTTCATAAAGTGCCGCGGAAAATCTGGACAAATCCGGCTGTTACCCTTCGAAAGTGTGGAAACTACCAAGAAAAACGAACCAAAGGGATTTCATAAAGTGCTGCGGAAAATCTGGCCAAATCCGGCTGTTAACCTTCAGAAGTGTGGTAAATACCAATCAAAACAGGGCAAAGGGACTTCACAAAGCGCGGAAAATCTGGCCAAATCGGGCTGTGTGGTCAATACCAATAAAAACGAACCAAAGGGACTTCACAAAGTGCCGCGGAAAATCTCGGAAGTGTGGCGAGTACTAATCAAAACCGGGCACAGTGATTTCACGATCCCTATGTCTTGGCTTTAGGTTTGGGGTTTTTGAAAGCCAAAAACTTCCAAAATTGTGAAAAAATCACAAAAACCGCCATTTTGGAGATTCCCATAACGAAAATCCCTATGTTTTGGCTTCAGACCAAAATTGTCAAAAATCACCAAAACTCGCCAGACTAGAGAAAAACTCGAGCAATTGGCCAGTATTTGTGGGGGTTTGTAAGGTCTCGGTGCACCAGCAGATGTTGCTACAAGAAGTCCCGGAAATCATTCATTTCCCTTGAGTTTTCCCTTGGTTGTTTTCCCGCCCATATCTTCAAGGGAAGCCCTTCCGTTGAAAACCCCGCGGAACCCTGCTTCCCTTGAGATTTCCCTTTCAAAGGTTTCCATTTGCATTTTACCTTGAACTTCCTTTTAGTCCTTTTAGTCTTCCCTTGAACCGTTAACCGCTTCCCCAGAGAGCCTGGGATTGCAAAAAAGCGTTCGTTGTTTGATTTTGCCTGTAAAAACGTTCAAGTAGCAGAAAAGTTGGATATGAGGGGTTTTCTGTTGATTGATTTGATGACGATGAAATGATTGATGTTTTCGCAGTCGGATGATTGATTTGTTCGTGCTTCGATGGTTGTTGTGCTTATGATGTTTTTTAATTGGGGGGGGGGGGGGGGGGGGGGGGGGGGCGGGGCAGGCGGCCCAATAATGGGGTTTATGTAGCACCTACCTACATACTTGTACCTCCCTACATACCCACATATACATACATATACACATACATATACATACATATACACATACATACACATACATACACATACATATACATACATATACATACATATACATACATATACATACATATACATACATATACATACATATACATACATATACATACACATACATACATATACATACATATACATACATACATATACATACATATACATACATATATATACATACCCATACATATACATACATATACATACATATACATACATATACATACATATACATACATATACATACATATACATACATATACATACATATACATTCATATACATACATATACATACGTATACATACATTGCACAACATAAACATAAAACATAAAAATAAATATATATATATATATGTATTTATATTTAGAGACCAATGAGTCTTCCCAAAGTTTCCTGGAAGCAGCGACATGGCCCTTGAGCGCGTGTTGTTTTGGCGCCGCGTCTCTCAATCTCTTGACAGAAGAATCTACAACATATGACAAGGGCAGTGGAGAAAGGGAACCTTTTTTCCACAAATTTTCAAGTAGGATAAGAAATCAGAAGCCAGCAATGAGAAAAATAACCGACAAGTGAAGATGGTAAGAAAAAACAGGAGAAACGCTTTTTGCTGGCTTTCTTGTCCCTTCCCGAGCTGTTTTCTTTTTTTGCCTTTCTCTTAGTCTCGTGCAGGAGGAAGGAGACAGAAAGAGTAAGCAAACAATTAGAGCGAAAGGCCCGTTTGCTGCTGAATTGCCATGGCAGGTTATTCTTGCATTAAACCGCATAGTCTTTTGCCATGTTTGATTGAACTGTGTTGAACAAGCTCGTTTTCTATCAATGCTAATAGTACTGATAATGAATTCAAAGACCAAATTCGCCTCGGCTTCCTGCCGAGAAGCGTCTGGAACAAGCAGACCCGGATCGGGCCTCCTTTCCCGCATGCCAAATTTTTCTGACGCCACCCCCCCCCCCCGGCCTGTGGGACCCCCCCCCAAATCGCTTGGAGGAGCAGTAGTGCCTCAAAACCCCCCCCCCCCCCCCCCCCCCCCCCCCCCCGCCACCCCCCCCCCACCCCCCCCACCACCCCCACCCCCCCCCACCCCCACCCCCCCCCCCCCCACCCCCCCCGCCCCACCCCCCACGCCCCCCCCCCCCCACCCCCCCCCCCCCCCCCCCCCCCCCCCCCACCCCCCCACCACCCCCCCACCCCACCCCCCCCCCTCCCCCCCCCCCCCCCCTTTGACCTCGCTGCCCTTCCTCCACTTTTTTTGCTGAAACCCTCTTTCCTCCTTTCCAGTCCTGGCCGGCCCGGCTGCCGAGGCGGCGCGCGCAAGCGTTTACAATTACATTCATCATGTGTTTTAAATCTTTGTATTTGCTTTGTACATACAAATGCATGAAGAGTACTTATCCCCTTTACATATGCATTTAAGAAATAGTTGTACTTCATTAACTCACTTGTTTA